ACTACAAAAAAATTAGAACGTCGTCCACCTCAAATACTTCAACTTCTGAAAACAGACGCCCCTCAAGTCGTACTCTTTTTTCCTAACCCGGGTTTTGTCCCAATTGGGTTTTCTCGGGGAGATTTTTAATGAGGCGACGAGGGGGATGTCTCGAAGTTCAAGTATAATTCATCGCCCCGCCTACCGACTACTTCTCCAGGCCGAACGATGAAGGGACTGGATACATGGAAACTTTTCCAATATACATGAAAACTCCAACATATGTATGAAGTGAACGAACACATGTAAATATTCTCCAATGAATGAAATAAAGCATCATTTTCTCTCCACCGTCTTTTCACACTTTACATTCGACCTTGCTCGAATTACTTTACATTCGACCTCGCTCGAATTAATTTACATTCGACCTCACTCGAATTACTTTACATTCGACCTCGTGAATTACTTTACGATCTACGGTCGACTACGCCAGAACACTACACGCAATCGACTTTAAAAGTCAGGGACTTCACCGCATAACAAACAAAAAGATAATGAGAATCCGAAAATACATAGCAAAAAGACAATCATTCCATTTCAACTGTTCAAATTACATATTAGAAAGGGATACGAGAACGCCCTCACCAAAATAACAAAACAAAACAAAAACTAAGTACAACAGTCTCACGCCACATCATCCCCATCGGCGTATTTATCATCGTACCAAGGATTAGAGGCAAGCCTATCCGTGGTATCATCATACTCATCTCCACCCGACATACCAGGGTCAAAACCACAAGCTTCACGGGGCAGTGCGTGCCTTGACGCGGACGCCTTTAAGTTCTACTTCGGAAATTTTCCCAACGACTTTCAAAGACTTATACACGTCGAGCTGAGCCTCGACGTGAACCCACATCTCGTACAACTCTCACGGCACGCCGGGATCGGTAAAGGTACGAGACGTGGATGGTTACGACTGCCGTCGCACCTCTTCGGCCTTCAAAGTAACGACCTGCTCATTCATTCCAGATAACTCCGCATCCAGACCCTGGATCCGCTCTTCTAACCTCGCTACCATAAGCGCTGATGTCCCCGCTTCATTCTCCCGATCAGACCTACAAATGCGGAGAGCATCTTCTAAGGCCGTTGCTTTAACCATGACAGCCACTCTGCCTTCCTCATCGCGAGTCAATTCTTCGACCTTGGCGCTCAACTCGCCCCGCAAATCAATAGCCTTCGCCTCCCTCTGCCCAAGTTTAGCAGTTAAAGATGCCACACACCCTTGGAGGTCGGCATTCTCAGCCATCAACCCCTTGCTCACTTCGAGCTCATCCTCCTTGGCCTTTAGAGCTGTCTCAAGTTCGTTGCACCGACTGATGGCTCTCATTAGCTCATTATACCTCTCCTTTAGCTCCTCATCTTTCTTCGCCTACTCCTCGTCTTTTCGTTTGAGCCCGTCATGAAACTACTGAAATTCGCTATCCTAGTTAAAGACGTCGGCCAATGTTCGATGCTTAGTGTAGTACTCCCTGTACTTAGAGGTCGCCTTCTTAAAGATGGTTGTCCTTCACTCCTCCCGCCAGTCACGCTCGACCCCCATGATAAGAATATGACATACAAATGAAAGAAGTCAATATGAGCAGATTATACATGCGAAACAAATTCTAACATTAAAAAGCACTTACTCGTAGAGCCATGCCAGATATACTTAGCGACAACTTTGCATCGCTCATCGCCTGAAGCGGCGTGTTCTTGGAAGCCGCACACAAGGGGGAAAAAGACGACACTGCCCGTTCCGAGTTGGCCAAGAGGTCATAACCTACAGGAATGATTACGTACCAGTTAGGACCCTCCGTCCTTACCTCCACGCGAGTATTTTTCTCCAAGAAGGCCCGTACCGCCTCAGGATCGATATCCGAACTAGAACCGTCGTCCCCCCAGGTACCGGCTCCCCCAGCTACCGATGGCGCGTCACCTTTTGCGGTCCTTACAAGCTCCCCGCCATCATGCACCCTCTCGGCCCTAGAAGGCTTCCTCTCCATAACTACATCCGCCGTAAAAACAGCCTCTACGTCTGGTGCAAGTACAGATGCCGCTTCCGGAGCAATGAGTTTCTCCGGCTCTATATCAGTGACTATGGCCTTACCGAGCTCCATCCTTCACCTTTTTCTCAATGGCGACTCCTTGCATTAGACAACTCATCTGCAAGATGATAGATAGGTCGGGAAGAGATATCATCTCACACAACAATAGTCTGAGGGGTGGAATCCCTCATTGACGGAGTTTGAGTACAACCTCTACGAACGGACTCGGCCAAAGCAAATTGCATCCCAGCCGATGCAATAGCTTGGCGAAATGCCGGCACTAGAGCCTTTTTCTTGGAAATTCGTCGACCTGACATCAAAAGGAGGTCGCATCAACGAGAAATGGTAAACAACAGAGCCAAAGCAAAAGTAACACTTACCAGACGGGACCTTGGGTCCAAAATGCTTGTGGAAAGCCGCCCAATCATGAATCCCCGCCATATGAGGCAAAACGCGAGCCACCCAATCTTCAATGTCGAAGACAGGGAGGGTGTATGCCTTTCAGCTAAAAAACAAACCACAAGTGAGCTGAAAACGAAAGGATGAAAGAAGACAACAAGTGTACGACACACTTACGATTATGGTTCCACTGCTCGGGCAACCCAGTCGGGTCCCCTACCAAGTGCTCGGTCTTGATGAAGAGGTACTTATGCCAGAACTTTCGATTTGTTCTGTCATCCATTCCGACTACCAGCCCTCTGGTCCCGCAATGTCGTAGGTGTATCATAGTACCTCTATAAAAACTAGGCGAAAATAAGTACAACAGATGGCGAACATTAACCTCACAACCAGCCAATTCCGCGTACTTTGTCAGCATCAAGAAAGCTTTATACAAGTAAGGAGAGAGTTGCACCGGGCAGACGTTGTAAAACCAGCAAAATTCCTCCGCTAGTGGAAGGAGAGGAAGAGTATAACTGATCAAGAACGGGTAGACATAGAAGGCACAATACCGGGGTTGATGGACCTCCACGATGTCTCCACCAGCCGGAATTATCTCGACATGGGGAGGGATGCGATTCTTGGACCGAAGGTCGGCTATATGAGATGATCCGGTCTCGGAGAGCACCTGAGTGGGAGAAGGAGCAGGAGCAGGCTCCTTTGGAAAATCATTTCTAGCCAAAGGATTTTTGGGAACTATCTCCCCTGCGGTAGGGAAGCTATCATCCTCTTCAGCCATGAATTCCTCACCGCTAGGAGGAGGGGCCATCGATAACGGTGTGGCATCAGAAACTTTGTCATGAATGTAAGAGGGTTGTGACATATTTTAACAGTGAAATGTATTCTACCAAGCCCAAAGAAGAAGATAACAATTGGGGTAAGAAAGAGGGGAATGGAATCGGAGAAGCAAAATTTTAGTTCAGAAATTGGGGAAGAAGATCGAAGAAGAACAATGCACATGCAAAGTGAAGGATGGTGAAAACTTCCGAAAAATGAAGCCTCCACCTATTTATAAGGCTGGCTGACACCAAAATCGAAGCAGCAAACTGACAATGGCACCAAAATCAAAATGACATAAGCACAGGTACTGCCTCGGGAAGACGCGCAATGATGACGCGCGTGGCTGTGACGTCACCCCATGCCAGCCACACTAATCACAGCCTTGCTGGCCACGCCTTCTCCTTTTGACCTCGGTTACTTCGACCTAATCAATACGACCAAATTTCTCCTAAACGGAAGCAGATCAGGTCCGTTTCTCGATGGCGTGCAAGATCATGACCTCAACAAGCGGAGGGACTAACTGTATTAGTCAAAATTTGACAACTCGGTAATTGCAGCTAAGCAATGTCAAGGATGGGGTCGACCACTGCATTATGACGAGGGGTCGTCCTTAGAAGGATCGTTGTCGAGGACGAGCAACTGGAGTTGTAATTGTAACGTTAGGATAGGCTTAGAAAAGGACAACGAGAATATTCACCTTGGATATTCCTTACATTGTACTTTTAGGGTTTCTTGGGGATATCCCTTATAAATAAGAAGAGATAGTGAACATAAATGAGATATTTACTTTTTGATAAGAGAACATTGTAAAGGTTGACTGAAAGAGAGAATATACAAAAGTTGTCTTGTTCACTGATTACATTATTCAAGCACACGTTGTTCAACCTTTGTTCACAAGATCCAAAGATTCCATATCCATCCTCACTTCTCACCCTTCCACGTCACTCACAAGAGAAAGGAACATCCCAATCATACAATAATTGGGTGGTAGATCCTTTCTTATTACATTTATTGTCATTATCTATATTTATTGGATGTTCACATTACCATATTCATTACTAATCATTGAATATTAAATATGCTATTTAATACTCCCAGACACTGTTCATCTTGCAAATATCCTACTATATTCCATCTAGAGTTTATTAAATTTAACTAAGATTCATCCTTTATTTCATCATTAATTGGTTTAAAAAAATATTTAACACTTTTTGGTCAAACAGTTATAGAGAGGTCTAACTGTACGGTCAAACCTTCTATAACAGCCTCATTTGTTCTAAATATTTTTGAATGTTATAGCGAAGTGCTGCTATGTAGAATTTTTTTCGGAAAAAATTGGTAGATCCTTTCTTATTACATTTATTGCCATTATCTATATTTATTGCATGTTCACATTACCATATTCATTACTAATCATTGAATGTTAAATATGCTATTTAATACTTCCTGTTCATCTTGCAACTATCCTACTATATTCTATATAGAGTTTATTAAATTTAACTAAGATTCATCCTTTATTTCATCATTAATTGGTTTAACACTTTTTGATCAAACAGTTATAGAGAGGTCTAACTGTACGGTCAAACCTTCTACAACAGCTTCATCCGAATATTCTTGAATATTATAAAAGTGCTATTATGTATAAATTTTTTTCGGAAAAAATTGGCTTTTACGGCGAAGTGTTATTGTTGTTGCAGAGGCGTCCGACTATAATTGGGAATCGTATGCACAAAGTTCCAACTCAATAGTCTTATTTCTCTCGCGTTCTGTGCTACTATCTATCTATAAATATAGATCCGAACCATAAGCTCAGAAGAAACAGCTACTTAGTCACAACACAAAAGAAAGTTAAAAAATGAATAGCTCCGTCAAGCCTCTCTTCCACCTTCCCAAGGTTGAAGAAGAAGATGAAACATCAGGAATGACCATGGCTTTTCATGACAATAAGAGGCACGAATCTTCCTCTGTAACTTTCAGGAATGCGGCAGAGACAGTAGTGCCACCAAAGAAGGTGAAAAGCAAGCCCAGATCTGAAGACATTAACGACAACGCAGAGGCTTTCATAAGGAAATTCAGGCAACAGCTGCTTCTTCAAAGAGTTGAGTCCATAGAATGAGCAAATGCTTAATAGTGGGAACATAGTTATGAGTAACTATTTCTTCTTTTTCCACTTTTCATGTCTTTCACAAATTATTGCATTGTGTTGCTATGTGTCCAAGTGTAAATGCTACGCTGAATGAGATGCAAAATTCTTCTTTCTAAATCTCGCTTTGTCTTCCTCATTCGTCTACCTTACTGTTTCTATTCCTCTATTTCCCCTTATTTCTGAATTTTCCCTCTCTGTTTCTTTATTCTCCTTTGCTTAGTTAGTTTATATTTTCTTTGTATGTCAAAGGTTAATTTGTTACCCTGGGTTGGGTGTAAAGGTTGGGGTTACTGTTTCTAATTTCCTTTTATTGGAGAGTTGCTTTGACCTAAATTTTGCAAATGAATTATGTCGTTTTCATAAAATGAATAAAATTGCACCTTGTGATACAAGTAGTAATTTTGATATAGGGCTGAAAATGGGTGGAAATGCAAACAAACAGCTGCCACGGACACTATATTTGACCGGTCAGTCATTGTCCCAACTAACTCCACCTAATCAAAATGAAAATTCCAAAGACTTGTTCTTCGTCTTCTTCAGTCAAAAGACAAAATTCAGAATCATGAACTACTATTAGCTTGTGAGGGGTGGAAGGATTATATTGATGGCGAACAAAGAGAGGGCGTTGAAACTAAGAGCAGCGGCGGAAGCGGCAGTGAAAGCAATAGGGTTAGGGTATGATATAGTGGATGACTTGAGGTTGAAGTATTGCAAGGAGGAGTGTAGGTTGATCGCCATTGAGGATGATCAGGTGCGAGACATAGCTATTCCTGGGGGAATTTTGGTTCAGAATGTTCCCAAGTCCATCCATTGCGATAAAGGCGACCGCATCAGATTTACTTCTGATCTTCTCTCTTTCCAGCAGGTGATTTTACATACAACTCTTATTTCTTTTTGGTGAACTACTCACTTGTACATATTCTCATCAACTCTGATTTACATCCAATAGTGAGTGTCTTGTGTCAGTTTAATGATAAAATTTGTAAGTTCTCATGGCACTAGAGGCATTAGTCTTCTCACTTGTTTTAAATGGTATCAGGTGCAGTTTTATGACAGTTGATTACCATATGCAATAAAACAACAATTTAATGCATGAGATAAAAGAGTTATGCTTAGCAGCCTTAGTTTTGTGTGAAGGTTTTATGTTCCTTGTAATCAATTCATTGTAAGGTTTGTATAATCATTTTTAGTTTTTTGCTATGCATATAGTTGTCAATTATTCTGGGTACCCGGCCATGCATTCCCTTGGTTCCTTTCCCTTCATGTTGTTATTACTCCTTTTCCATGTTCTACGGAAAAGCTAATATAATTATGATTAACACTTTTCAATTTTCAGTTCGACTTGAAATATCGTATGACATATTATCTTTATCCTTCTAGATGTCCGAACAATTTAACCAGGAAATGTCTCTTTCTGGTAAAATTCCAAGTGGCCACTTCAATGCTGCTTTTGAATATACCACTTGTTGGCAAAAAGACGCCGCCTACACAAAAGCTCTTGCTTTTGACGGGGTCTTCATCACCCTCTACAATATTGCATTAGAGAAGGCTCAAGTTGCACTCAATGATCATGTTAAACAAGCTGTTCCTTCATCTTGGGATCCAGCAGCGTTGGCAAGGTGAGAAAGCAGTTCTCTTGTCCAAGTACTGCTCAAGTTTTTTCTACTTAGCTTTTTTAGTGTTTGTAAGCCTTTTTGCTTCCTTTATTTTTTCTGGTTGGGAAACTGGAATGCACTGATGAAAGAACAAGCTAGAGCATGCTTGAAAAAGTTATGTTGGAATTGATTATTTCTGAATTTTGTGATACTCAACTTTTTAACTACCTCCAATCTTATATAACATCGTTCTGGAGGTTTTTGATAGGGTTTTGAATATGGCAAGTTGATAATAACCCAAGGTATTTATGGAAGTTTTTGTTGGGTTCTCTACCTGATGTGTGGTACGCAGTAGGCACACGCCGATAGTTCGAATCCTGCTGGTGGACCAAGTTTGGTATTTAAGTGGAGAAGGGTAAAGGGATGGACCTATTATTCACCGAGTTTCGAAGTTGGAAACATAAATTTCTTGGTTTTACGCACGTGTATATACAGACACACACACACACACGCACGTACTTATGTATGTATGACTCGACATCCTATGTTCGTCCATGACTGTTTTCTGTATAAGAATGGAAGATGAGCTGGGTAGGGTGACGTCTTTAACATCGAGCTCCAGAGGGCCTCCAGACGAAGAGTCGGTAAATCAAAGTCAACAAGTCAAAGTTGCTTTGCATATAGGTTGTAAGTTGTAACTATTGATTTGTTGCATTTTAGATTTTGCAAGTATGAAAAAAAAGTTGCTCTTGTGTCGCATAATATAGAAAATTTGTATAACTGAGCAAACTAGTTTTGAAATGACCCATAGTTGATGAAGGTGATTTGATTGTCGCTATCTTGCATGCAACATTTTATTGTCTACCTACCTGCAAAGAATGTTTCTGCCCCAGTAATTATGTTGTCAAAACTGATGAGATGCCAAAGGGCCATGGAATTGGAGTGCGCCAAGTTTTTACCATTGATGAGCCTTATCTATGATACTCTATCCTGCAAATTGATCATAAATAATGTTACTTGGAGACATACTCGACATTAATTCTTAGTCTTACATCAAAAGCTGGACTCGATTGTAACTTCCAGGTTTATTGAGAAATATGGTACCCATGTTGTTGTTGGTGTGAAGATGGGGGGAAAGGATGTTGTATATGTAAAGCAGCAACATTCATCAACACTTCAGCCTGCAGATGTACGGAAAATGTTGAAAGAAGTGGCAGACCAAGGATTTAGTGATGCAAATGAACAATCCAGCACTATACTGGTAAGCACAAATAGGGCGAAATGATTTTGTGATGTCAACTTTCACAGCCAAACACACACACACAGAGGTCCAATGTTTTGGATCTCATTTCCTTGAAATACTTTGAACTCCAGCCTTAGTATTTTATGTCAATTTTTTTTTCCTTGATAAGATAAATCTTATGTCATATCTTTAGTCTGTCTTCTCTAGAAATGGCAAGCGGGGCAGGGCAGCATGGGGCGCTGCCCCCTTTTTTCTTTCTATTTTGTTAATTAGCTGAAACAGGCAAATTTAACATTTAGTATTCTTTAAAATGGTGTCTATGTAGAGGTGCTCATACATGAATTATTTGTTCTGATTTCATTCTACTTCTGTACATGCACTGCTGGCTTATATATTGTTTTTAGAGATCTCAGAGACAATAAGCACATAAGCATGTGCCATTCTTCGTATTCAACTCTCAATCCAGTTCACTATTGAAAGAAAATCAATCCATATTGTTTGTTCCAAGAACAACACCTTAGATTAACAATCCAGAAGAATGAATCATAGGATTTGTTAGAAGTTCCCAGAAATTGTATCTACTTCCATAATGGTTCATCTGGCATTACAGACAAAAAAACAAGCAAATAGTGTTTTTAATGAATAATAGAGAGTCATGTAAATATTCCTCTAGATACTTGCCAAAAAGAAAATGTAAATGATGCTCTGAGGGAAGAAAAAATTGTAAATGGTCCTCTAGAGGTCGCCCATGGTTGATTAACACAAAAGATCAGCATCCTAATAGTAATAAAACCCTTACTTGCTTGTTAGACTGCTTCATGAATATAATCCCAGCGACCTATAATTTTTGCCTCCGATTTTTCCTCCTGCTGAAAAATTTGATGCTCCTACCGAAGTTCTATTCTTGTGCAAAATTTATCCCCAATTATTCCTTTATCACCTGATATACTTGCTTACAAATATCATTTCTATATGATTTAATTATGCATTTGAATGGCGATTTTGAACTTGGAGTGGATATCCCTGATGCTGCCAATTCTTATAAACGAAAGGACTGTAAGTACAGTTCTTTTCAAAACTTGGACGAGCACTATTTCGCACTTCAATGTTATAGCATTACAAGTAATTAATGAACTTAAAATTCCTTCAAGAAACCTGACTGTGCAGAAGTGCCTTAACTTCTATACTGTTCTGATTTCTTTTCTTTATATTAATTTTCTAACTTAAAATGTTGTCTCTTTTTATCCATGCTTTTAGGTTCTTAGAGTTCTATCAGATGGACCATTAGTTTTAAGTTGCTGGTACTCGTCAAAAAAAGGATTCCTGAGCTACTCTTACAAAAATGTCTTAGCCTAGCAATTGATAAAACTGAAAGCATGTTGCACAATTTTAATATTAACATCTTAGTTTCATCTCTTTCAGCTTGCTAATAGTGACCAAGGGCTGCCCTTTGTGGATTCCACTACGTCAACTCTTCATTTTCACAAAGAGGTAACAGGTCTTGTGAATAGTAGTAAACAGAATTTTCCTTATCCTTGAAGTTTTTATTTCTTTGCAGTTTCAGATTGAAGATGTTTTAGAATAAACTTGACACAGTCAAGGTCTTTTTCGATTTCACAAAAATTAAACTTGACTTGACCTGTTTGGATATAATCCCAGGTTAATCTTGTAAAACGCCACTAGAACTTAGAAGTTCGAAAAGAGGATTGTGCAATAACCTTTTTGAGTGCTACATATACTACCCTTACTCTTGAGAGATTAGGTTTTTGAATGCTCTAGATGGAAGGGGAATCAAGTGAAAGTGGTATAAGCGTATGTCATTTGAAACTGTGGTTGAAATAAGTGATCTAGGACAGAACAAACCAAAATGACTAAAAATCTCTTCGTTTTTTTCGTCTGTATTTCACGTTCAGGAATTTTTAGGATTCTTATTCCATAAGGTGAGGCCAGTACAGTTCATGAGTGAGTATGGCTGGAACGATAGATTAATGAAGTTTTAAACATTGTGCTAACAGAAGAAGCTCTCAAGTGTACTATGTTATGTTGCGTATTGAGCAAAATCTGGGTAAAAAATGACATGAAAATTGGCACCATTTAGTATCAGGACTGGCAGTTCTATGTTTTATGTATTTCTCCTTTTCCATTGAATACAAAATCAGCACAAAGAAGCAGCCACTAATGCTTGCATTAGGATAGGTTGTCTACAACGCATCCCTTGGGGTGCGGCCCTTCCCCGGACCCTACGTGAATGCGGGATGCTTCGCGCACCGGGCTGCCCTTTTACAAAATTCAGCACAAACAAATAATTCCAATTTAAAAGCTTAAATGGAGCCATATAGTCATGAACATTGATGAAATATTGGCTAAAGCATCATGATATGTAAATAATATTACATTCAGATGATGGGTTTTAAGGGAAAGAGTGGTGACTGCAAGCTTGAGGTCTTAGGTGTAATTTTAAAATGGCAGCTCGTAGCCATGTTCTTGAAATGTGTAGTTTTTGACTTGGTTGTGGGTAGTAAGTGGTGGGATACGCCTTGGTATTTGGTGGTATGTATTGGAGATGGTGGTTAAAATGGAGTAAAATGGACACCATGACAGTGGAGTTGGAAACTGTGTGTTCGGAGATGGGAATGGCAGTTGACGGCTAATCCTTGTACCTTCTATTAAATACTGTGTGGTAAAGAGTCGGGGTAGTGGCTCTTCTTCTCTTTTAGAGATTAATAGGGAGGTGAGCATGTGAAAGTTGGCATTGGTATGGAATTTTGTGATGTGGAAGTTTTGCTGCTGCGCGTATGTTCCAAACAGCTATTTAGAAGGTAGAAGTTTGAATTGAGGTTTTTCCTCCCATGGGATGTGAATAAACCCCAAGTCATAAAACCCACAAGAAATTTATTCCATATCTTTTATCTAACAAAAACTAAAGGAGAAAAGGTTCAGTATGTGTAAAAGTAGAATGAATGTGATAATGATATAAGGGTCAAAATGCTGTTGCAAGTTTGCAACGCAATCAGCTGATTTATTTTTGTCATGATGGTGTGAGATTTTTTTAGATTGTAGCTTTACTTTTGGGAGTTAAGGTTTTATCTTCTTTATTTGTATTGCATTTGTTTATTGACATATTCTAATGATGCTTCATCATTGCATATGCATTTTATTTGATTTTTATTTTTATTTTTAAAATTTTTATCTACTTTTTCTTTTGTATATGAATAACTTCTAATGTGAACTACTATTCTTTAGTACACGTAAAAATGAACTTACTGGTTTTGTTTGGCTGCTTTTGCTGAAAATTACGTTTTAGCTCTTATTAAGTATTTTGATTGCTCAGTGCCCAGTGAAACCCGAAACTGCCTTTTCAAACCCTGGTTGGATGGATGCTTCATTTCTTTCTTCCACTTTCAGTTTGATATTCACGTTTTTTCCTTTCCTTCAAACATTTATGTTGTGTTCATTATTTGGTTATCTATAACCTTCATGTTCCTTTTCCATTCCAACTTTGACATCAGGATATTACATTCCTCTGGAAGAGGAGAGGTGGAAGCAGTATCAGAAATCTGCCACATAAAAGGTGGTATCAAACTGTTCCAATTGAACCTGATGTGATTTCAATGTCATTCATTCCAATATCATCATTATTGAGCGGGATTGATGGAAGTGGTTTTTTGAGCCATGCAATTAACTTGTACATACGTTGTAAGTCTTAATATATCCTTTTACATAATATCGGGTGGTGTTTCCTGATTCATCTTAACAAAAGAATATCCTGCTTGCCTCTTAGGAGTGTAGCTACCTCTTTGTTTGGCTTTAAATTATAGAAAGACCTGTCTAAAGAAATAAAAATATTGTAAAATAAAGCTTGCAGCAAAATCCTGCATCGGCTAAGAAGTGTGGTTAATATTTGGATTCACGTTCGTTAGTTAGAATTTTATGGAGGATACTGAAATCCAATATCCACTCCATTCATAAATTCTGTAATCCACAACTCCTGATATTACGAGAAATAAGATGACTATTGTGAATTTATGGCTGTAGATGTTTTAAGTTAATACATTTAATCTCATCACTTAATTTGCTTACTAGGAATATCATGATTTGTGGATTTTGCACAGGCACTATTTTTAGGTAGCTATTTGTGCAAAACTCAAAAGTAACTTTCAGACAATCCATGTAATTTCTGAAGGAAGCTTATCGTTGCATCTGTCATGCAGATAAACCACCAATTGAAGAGCTTTATCAGTTTTTGGAGTTTCAGCTTCCAAGGCAATGGGGACCTGTGTTTGGTGAACTTCCTCTTGGTCCCGAGAGGAAGCAGCAAAGTGGTAAAACCCTGAAGTTCAGTTTAATGGGCCCCAAGTTATATGTTAATACAAATCCGGTAACAATTTCTTCAGCTTTTACACACCTATTAGTTGTGCGGCTATGTTAACTTGAAGAATTATTTGGAGGAACTTACAGTTTGAAAGTGTTTTACATCAAATCCAATGTATGATCTTTTTGTTAAATGTTAACTAATTGAAGAAAAACGATGTTTCACATACTACCAGATATTTTTGAACGATTCGTCTCTCATGAGACTGGTTCTTAAAAATGCTAGAATGTATGCTAAGACAACTTTTCTACCCCCTCGTGGTAGAGGTAAGGTATGCGTACTCACTACCCTCCCTAGACCCCACTCGTGAGATTTCACTCGGTCGTTGTTATTGTTATGTGAAGACAACTGGCTAGCTATTCCTGCTCTCAAAAAAGGTTTTAGTGAATCATGTGTTTATTTATTTTGATATGGGGCTATATTTTGCAATGCTAAACTATGTTCATAAAGGTTGATGAGAAGCCTAACCTAAAGTGGAAGAAGTTAAACATAGTAAATGGACAACAGAGGAAATCTTTGCTCTATAGAATGGATTAGATTATGGAACTACAAATAATAATGATAAATATAGACACCTACTTGAACAGGCATGGAAGAGCCAGTTCTTTTGTTATTCATGGTCTTGTTGTATATTTTATTATTGGACGAGCTAATAAATTTTATAAACAAACTGTAAGATGTCAAGAGTACAAGAAAAGGAAACCAAAATAATGAAGTTGCATTTCTAATGAAGTTCCATTTCTACAAAATCGGTCCAATCATCATTGCATGTTGGTACTATCATTAGAGGTTGGTGTATTTAAATGAAGGTGCGATTTTTGAACTTTGCATATATAGAAAGGAGTGCCACGTATAATGCATGAAAAGTGTAACAGTAAAGAAGTATGATCGCTTGGATGTGAAATATTGGCCTCTTTCACTCTCAAAAGCTCTGTGTTCCTTACTCCATGTAATCGTTATCACTGTTTGATTTCTTCCTGATCTACCCCTTCTTTGATTCCATCTCCCTAGTAATTCTTCTCTAATAGAATCTTCATTTAGCAGATATGAATTTGTTTTTGCATCAAGCTCCCCAATTTTGCCACAAATCGGCGACCTATGAGAAGATGAAATGTATCCTTCCATGATACATTTTTTCATTTAAGAAAAAAGAATAAGGATCCTTCCTGTTAATTAGCACACATCGCACCAGCTCTCATGTGGTTTTTTCAATCCTTAGATTGTTAGCTGTTATGATAGCTCGCTATTCAGCTCTATGCACTAAAAGTCAACTTTAGTGGAGCACTGCTGTTTCACTGCCTTCATTTTCAATATTCGGAGATCCCATAGACTTGTGTCCCATTCTAAAGGGTGTTTCTACTACTGAGATGATTTAACCAATATCGTACTGGTCAAATTACTTGCCTGGCCTTCTATCTTAGAATTTATGTATTTATAAGGAAGAAATGATAATAATGAAATTGGAAGAAGTGGTAAGCAGTTACAAGTTTATAGCAGCCTATTGTTCAACCAATCAATGCTTTGTATATTGATATTTTCCTTGCGTGTATATTTTCTTGATGAATTTTCATAGGTGGATGTGGGTAATAAGCCAGTCGTCGGCCTTCGATTGTATTTGGAAGGCAAAAGAAGCAATTGCTTAGCAATCCATTTGCATCACCTTTCTTCCTTGCCAAAAAGTCTTCAATTTCAGAATGAATCATATGGAGATGCCAGCAGCTCTTCTGACCGGAGGTATTATGAGAAAGTCCAATGGAAGAGTTTTTCACATGTATGCACTGCCCCCGTAGAATCCGATGATGATTCCTCGATCGTCACAGGGGCCCAATTTGAAGTTGGAGAATCTGGTATGAGAAATGTTCTTCTTTTACGCCTTAAGTTTTCCAAAGTATTAGGTGCCACAGTCATAAAGAGACCTGAGTGGGATGGTTCCCCTGCTCAGACTGAAAAATCAGGAATCATCTCATCTATAATAAGTTCCCATTTTTCCTCCGCTCAAAAGCCATTGCCACGACCATCTGAAATTCACATAAACTCTGCACTTTATCCGGATGGACCTCCAATGCCAGCACAAACCCGTAGACTCTTAAAGTTCGTTGACACGACAGAGATGATGAGAGGACCCCAGGATCAACCTGGCTACTGGATGGTGTCCGGGGCTAGGCTTGTAGTCGACAATGGTAAGATTTCTCTTCGTGTTAAGTTTTCTTTATTAGCTGTTGTCTTGCCAGATGAAGAGGAGCCATTGCAAGGCTAATATATAAGGGTGTAGAAAGGGGGAAAAAATTGGCTGGAGATTACTTAGCGTATTTGTTATTTTGTTACTGCAATGTGAAATAGTAGGAATTTGTTAGGCATAAATTTCTCATGTATGAATGGCTATCGATAATGTACAATCTGTAAAAATGATGTTCTTGTGATTGTAATATAATTTTTTTTTTTTTTTGAAAGTTGCAAAAAGAAAAGAACGGAAACTTCTGTCCATTGCAGTTAAATAGTGTGTCTCCTCTATTTTGTATGATTATAATTGTTTATTATGGACTTGTAGTTTCTTGACTTGACGAGTACATTTTATTGGATTCAATTCAAGGGTCGAATGATTACTTCGAGATTACTTGTTTTAAGATCCTAAATCATGCATATAAGAATAGTCGCGTATCTCCTTGATGGCATCTTGACAATTCAAAGCTACATCAAATATATATTGAGATAAAAGGAAATTTGCACAACTATACAGCCCAAGATATTGTGTTGCACCTATGTAGTAATATTTCGGTTTTCATTTACAGTCAATATTTTTTTTGATAACAGTGTATATATATATCTTTATATATTATTATATACTTATTATAAATAATATATTGACATTGTATAAAAGTATATAAGAGTTATTTACACAAACTTTTTATCTGACAAAATTATATATCGTTATATAAAATTATACAAAAAATGGGTTCCGTCCTTTACGAACTTCAACTCATGAAATTCAATCCAAAATGGATTAAAAAAACATCACCAGATAGCTTAAATCTTCACCAAACAGCTTCAACTTTTAATCACAACTTTAACATAACATCCCCAATGAACCTCAATCATTAATTTGTCAAAAATTTCAACAAATCACGATATTCATTTGTGAGTTTTCAAGCTTTAAAAATACTAACAATAGAGTTGCCCTTTGCCCTTCCCATATTCTTGAGTTCTTTAACATATGGTCTTTGCCTGTTTGATGTATGTTGTACAAATTAGATAGAAGAAACAGCCTTGTTCCTTAAAGCGACCAGGCAGGATAATATATCAGCTTACGCCTTACAGGAATTTAGCAAAGCAAACTACTACATCTTAAATTTATTAGTTGAGAATTCAGAGGCAGAGCCATGATTTGAAATTTATAGGTTTAGTATTTTAATTCATTTAAGCTATCGGGTTCTAAATTAATAATTTGTGCATAATTTAATAGTTTTTTTAAAAAATCTAATGTCCCTGTTGAGAAATGAGTCATGATTTTTACATAGTCGGTTTTGCACTACGAAGAGACTATTAATGAAGTTCCACCACTAAATCTGTAAATATCTAAATAACAAATGAGTTCGACTCAATTAGGAAATGTTTCCACTGCTTTTCAGTAAACCAACTGTTACAAGGAATTAGAGGAAATTACAGAAATTAAACTAAAAACTTTGCTTCAGTGCTCCAACACCAGTATGTATTCAGCCTATTTTGATCTGTCCAATTAAGTCCATCAAAAGTTAAGTAAATTTGGGCTAAATATGTAACTCAAATTGGTTAAAATAGCACGATCTAGCCAGTTTTCGGACTGATCATTCAAAAATAGCCAACATTTGCCAAGTCATAATAGCCACTATTTACTGCAACAGAGACCGGTCTAGCATAATATACTAGAGTTCGGTGCACCTGTGTATGAACTTCCACCATATTATGCTGGACCAGTATACTTTGTTGGCTCCAGTATAATATACTGGAGACTGGAGCACCGGTGCTCCAAACTCCAGTATATTATGCTGGACCGGTATATTATACTGGAACTCCAGTATATTATGCTGGAGTATTTTTCTGGATTTTAAACAGTGTTTTCGTTCAGATTTATCTTTATATAAAAAGTGGCTAAATTTCGATTACTTTTGAAACTGTGGCTATTTTTGAATGACCACTTATAAATCTGGCTATTTTTGAATTTCTTCCCTCAAATTGACCTATCAGAAAACCTGTCAAAATATTAAAAAACGAAAAAAATTTCTTTTGTTTGATATTTTTTACATGGCCATAATAAAGAAAAAAATTATTAATTTTGTTTGGTAATTAGACAAATTATAAGAAACCAAAACTAAACCTTGTAAGAGTTGGACATATTGAGTTATGATCCATTGTTTAGCCCATCTTGATAAGTCCACTTAAACCCGAGTCAACTTTGGAAGGGTTAATGACTAATTCGTTTATTAACTGAACTTATTTAGCCTGTTCAAATTTGCAAGGAAATTTTACCTCATATAGCAAAGGTATATACCCTATTTATTATAAACCAAAATTATTTTAAAATATTATTTTCTATAACTACCTTTTATATTTTATAGCAAAATAGATATTTATGGTATATACTACAATTGAGGCGTGAAATATGCTATTTATGTTTTCTCTCTCTTTCTTTCAATTAATACATGATTCTCTCTCAAAATCCCAACAAAAATTTTATTCTTTCTATCTCTCTTCCTTATCTCTCTCTTCGAGAAAAATACATGCTTAGTTTTTATGCCGGATATTGCAATGGATTTGTACTGCTTAGCTTCTGCACCGAATGTTTGCAATGGATTTGTATTGCAATATTAGAAAGAAAGAGACTGTGGCTTTCTTCTATGCCGGGTATTGCAATGGATTCCTCTACACGGATACTGCAATATTTTTTACGCCGGAAAATACCATCTTTGGTGAATTTTTCTTCCTTTTTTTGCTATTTATTCACATATAATGATACAAACACATTGTATTATGTACAAATTCACTCAAAATACATTATATTTTTGTGTAAATATATTATTTTTTGCTAATATTTATGTATTTCGAAGGTTTGTATTTATTTAATATAGCTGAATACATCTGTATTCATACATGAGTACAAAATATAAACATTGAAATACACTGAATACAAAAATTAAAATAGAATATAATATAAACAGTGAATACATTTTTATTAGGTTATATACAATTGAAAAATCATTCTAATTAATTGGGTTGATAACGAGGCATGTTAGAATTGATTTTGTTGAGTTATATTAGGAGTGTATCACGCTAATTGATATTATTCCCGTTATTAGACAGCTGGACATACCTATTTTTAAAGTGATTGTCGTTACTGTATTCATGAATACATGGCGTGAATACATGTGAACACATGCGCGTACAGCTAGACTGCCCTGATTTAGACACTTTTTCCTGCTGTATTAATGAATACAACAGCGGGAAACATGTGAATACATGCACGTACAGCTGGACTGCCCTGATTTTAGGCGCTTTTTGCTGTTGTATTCATGAATACAGCAGCGCGAATACAAGTGAATACATGCGCGAATAGCTGGACTGCCCATGATATTAGACGCTTTTTGCTGCTGTATTCATGAATACAACAACGTGAATACAACAAATACACTACCGAAACAAATGAATACTAGCTATAGAAAATAATTATATATATGGTAGCTATATAAAATTAATAGGCACGAAACAATAGTGTTTTCTAAAAATTCCCCAATTTCCAATCCTTCTAATTGTCACCCATATCTTAGGTTCATTTCATGTATTGTTACGTAAAATAAATCTCTTTTAAATTTCAAATAGGTATGGAGCATATGGAAGAGCTATAACTTCTTGTCATTTGTCGTTTTCCATTTTTTTGGAATATTATAAGACTATAAGTTATTTTCATGAAATTTGGAAATTCTCACGTAACCTAACATGAGGTAGCACATTGATGCAGGTTCGAATTAGTTGGACATTAAATTTCAAATATTATTACTGAAAAATGAGGACTCGAATTAATTTGGCCAGTAAATTTTACATATTAAAATTAAAATGAAAAGAAAAACATGAGGTGTCACGAGTCCTTTCCACTTTATCCTTCGAGTTCTTTGCTGTATGGGTCGAAATCTATCTCTAGAATATAAGTCAAAATGATATCGGTAAATCAACTTCAGCATGCCATGGGTCGAAATGATCTAATCAACAGTGAAGTCCATCGTCGTAGAGTTAGCAAAGATCGAAGTCAAGGAGTCGATGACCGTTGCCGAGGCCGTGGCCTCTGACAGAGTTATAACGGCTAGCTTTAAGATAGGACCTAAATGAGAATATTCTAGTGGATATTTCTCTGTACTTGTGCTATTAGGGTTTCTAGGAACATGTTCCCTAGGGGTGTCAATAGATATTTAAAAACCGACCAAACTGACTGAACCGTAGCGTACCGAACCGATTTTTAGGTTTCTTTTAATAAAACCGTATGTTTTTATATAAATCTATAGCTGTACCGATAATTAGGGTAGATTATTTATTTTATGAAAATAAATCGAAAAAATACTGAACCCTACCGAATAAATTTACGATGTGAAAAATATCATTATATATTAAGTTTAAAAATAATAAAGCGTTAAATTTTTTCTTCGGCCTTGGAATTATGAAACAGTTACAAGCCAACAAGTAATTTAACTCAAAATCCTAATTCACAAACCTATTGTGCTACTCCTATTGAAACTAAATTATTTTTAGCATGTTCATTAGCAAGACACAAGGTATTATTATGAGCAGCAAACTATGTTATATTGAATATGTTTCATTTTCATATGATTTTGATTTATCTTTTTGAATATTTAATCTTCTATAGACTTTATTCTTGAACCCTAACTTGGTTAATATTTTTTCACTCGTATGATTTATATTTTTTTTGTATTTGCTTAGTTTTTTTTACGTTGATGTAGAATAGTTGATGGATCTATACTCTAACCATCTTTCATATTTTCTTAATTCATCACCTTTTAAACCGTAAAAATGTCTATATAGTTTTGCTAAGTCCTATAAAAGTACGTAAGCTTTTGCATTCTACTTCTACTAGTGACTTTTGCATGACAATAAAAAAATTACCGAAAATTTACCGAACCATACCGATACCAAAGAGAAACCAACATGATTGGGACGGTTTTGAAAACTCTAATTTTGATTATACATAATAACCAGCTGAACCGAACAATTGACACCCCTAATGTTTCCTATAAAAAGAAAGAGACATAATGATATGAGACATGTGATATTCATTTGTAAAATACTCTTTGACTTTAAAGAGGAGAATCAGATCTTGTTGTAAGGAGACAATCATAACCTTTTTGCCAAGATTCTTGTCTATCCACCAGATCCGAAATAACTCAGATATTCAAAGGATTGTCCA